GGCAGTGGAGGAAGTGAATGAAGCCAGTCTGTGTTGATAAGGCTTCCAAATTAAAATAAATTTGTCTGACAAAGCAGCAGCTCTCATTTACAGGCGTCTCGTTTTGGCTCAGTACTTTTCTCCTCTCAGTAGGATTGTTTACAGCACACGCAATTTCCGGTTAGCTTCTTAGCTTAGCCTCCTTCACACTGACAACACACACATACTTCAGAGGCCACGCCTCCTGCTAGAAATCAATTCTCTATGCATCAAGTCCAGACCCTTGTATGAAGCAAAGTGAAGGACAGGGTCTGGTTTAAACCAGGCTAGAGAAGTCCCAGACGGAGCAGTGAAGGGAAACTAGAATCGAGCGGAGCTGCGTAGGAAGGCAAGGGCCAGGCTAGAAACAAGGTAGAAAAACTGTTAAAAAGAGAAAAAGAAAAAAAAAAAAGAATCACCTAGTTTTTCCTTTGAGGCAAAAACCATTTCAGAAATATATAAATGAGGTTTTCCTATATTGATGGCTTTGTGGAACTTACCTGTGACGATCTTGTAACCGAGATCCATAAGAGTACTGGACAGAGCTTTGCAGTTCTCCAGAACCTGTGATTGGTAGGCCTTAAACTCAGGTGTCATGGCTTGTTTAAGAGCCACAGCAACACCTGCCGATGAAGGATTTCACCCAGTGAGACTGAGGCCGACATCACTGGACAGCTGTCAAGACGAAACTGAGAACTAGTCAAAATGAGCAGGAGGATACCTGCAATAGCATGATTGTGTGGTCCTCCCTGCAGCCCTGGAAACACAGCCTGGTTGATCAAAGACTCCAGGTTGTACAGAGTCTCCTTTCCTTTGGCATCAACACTTCTTACACCTGGTGGAGGGAAGGAGGGAGAAAATGAGAAATAACTAAAAATGTTTCAACGGGAGAAGAATAAAAGCAATAAATATACAAAACATTTTTTTAGGAAGAAATATTGGTAACCTTTTCTATAAAAAATAACTCCTGCACGGCATCCACGCAGCGTCTTATGAGTTGTGGTGGAAACTATGTCACAATGGTCAAAGGGCGAGGGCACCACTCCTGCAGCCACTAATCCACTGATGTGAGCCATGTCCCCCATCAGGTAAGCACCGTTCTCAGCAGCAATCTGCTTCAGACGGGCGTAGTCAAGGTTGCGAGAATAACAGCTTGTTCCTTGAAAAGTGAGAAATAATAAATCAGTTTACTAGTACAAGTTCTACTGACGCACAATTTGCATGTGTTAAAGAACCTGCGATGATGAGTTTGGGGTGGAACAGTCGAGCGTTTTCTTGCAGTCGGTCATAATCAATGTAGCCAGTTTCTGGATTCACCTAAGAACAGATAAAACAGCCCTTTATTATAAGTAATACACATCAGATGTATGTACTAGAGCTGCACGATGTGGTTTGAGCAACGTCATCATGAGGTATGTGTGCACAAATTAAATCTACAGACACAAGTCACTGCACTAAATGATTGGCTTTTATTTTTGACAGGTTGGTTCTGTCAGCAGAAGCGGGTGTCTGCTGAGAATAACTTTCCTTTTGACAAGACAACAAGGATCTTGAAGAAAACTYAGAAGATCAGTAAATTTACAGAGAACTGGAGGAAAAGAGGTAAAATAWTACAGCATGAGAAAAACAGAAATACAGGCAACACGTTAGGTGCTAAAATGCAATTCATGTTGCACATGATGGAAATAAACATGTACTCAGGTCCCAGCACAATAAAAAAATGACAGAATAACTCTGAAATACAGACGAAAACATACTTGTAACAGGGTCCTCCTCAACAAGATCAGAACTTAAATTTTTATTCGAGTCATCTGTTGAAATTTCCTGTACTTTTTCATTTCGCAGTGTTAGAAAAATCTCAATGTCAGTTTTTACCCAATATTGTGCAGCTCTAGAATTCACAAAACTCTAACATACATACATACACACACACACACACACACACAC